CTACCAATCCATGAGCAAGTTAGATTTTTCCATCTGTTTACATCTTCTAGAATTTCTTTTCTTAGTGTCCCATAGTTCTCCCTGTTTATGTCTGTCACATCTTTTGTTAAATATATTCCTAGATATTTAATTTTCTTTGAGGCTATTGTAAAAGGTATTGTGTTTTTTATTTGAATTTTGGCTTGCCTGTTTTTAGCATATAAGAATGCCTCTGATTTTTGTGTATCGATTTTGTATCCCGAGACTTTACTGAATTCATTTATCAATTGTGCGAGTCTCTTCATTGAATCCTTGAGGTTTTCTAGATATAATATCATATCGTCAGCAAAGAGCAAGAGTTTTACCTCATCTACCCCCATTTGGACACCCTTAATACCCCTCGCTTGTCTAGTTGCTCTAGCAAGGACTTCCAGCACCATGTTGAATAGAAGTGAAGATAGCGGGCAACCATTTCAGGTTCCAGTTCTAAGTGGGAATGGTTTCAATTTTTCCTGATTCAGTATGATATTGGCCATGTGTTTGTCATAAATGGACTTGACAATTTTAAGGTATGACCCGTCTATATTGAGTCTTTGATTTGGTTCTCAGTTTGACTATGTTGGTGTATAGGAATGCTACTGATTTCTGTACATTGATTTTGTAACCTGAGACTTTCCTGGATTTGTTCATCAATTCCAATAGTATCATGGCAGAACCTTTGGGGTTCTCTAGATATACGATCATATTGTCATCAAAGAGCGAAAGTTTGACCTCTTCTGCCCCCATTTGGATGTCCTTGGTTTGCTTCTCTTGTCTGATTGCTCTGGCTAGGACTTCTAGCACTATGTTGAATAGAAGTGGTGACAGAGGCCAACCTTGTCCAGTTACAGATCTAAGCGGGAATGCCTTCAATTTTTCCCCATTCAGTATGGTGTTGGCTGTGGGTTTGTCATATATGGCTTTTATCATTTTGAAGTCAGGTCCCGTCTATGCCTCTTTTGTTAAGTGTTCTTATCATAAAAGGGTGCTGAACTTTGCTTTTTCTGTGTCTATTGAGAGGATCATATGGTCTTTGTCTTTACTTCTATTTATGTGGTGGATTACGTTTATAGATTTGCAAATGTTGAACCATCCTTGCATCTCTGGGATGAAGCCAAACTCTGACACTTATTTAACAGTGTGACCTTGGGCAATCCACTTAGACTTTCCTTGCCTCTATTTTTTTTAATTTGCAAAATGGGGATAAGATTGTTGTGGGGATTAAAAAGCACTTAGAGCAATGCCCAACACATAGAAAGCACTATTTAAGAGTTAGCTATTATAGTTAGTCTTCAACATGCGCTGCAAACATCTTACTCAACAATCAGAAAATTGCTAGAAAACCCTGTGAGGTAGGTATTTTCCTTACTATACCCATATGAGGAAACTTAAGCAATGAAAAGTCAAACAAAATGACCAAAGTCACACAACTACAGAGTGGCAGAGCCTTTAGATGCTGCCTAGTCCAAGGCTTTCATTTCACAGAAGAGCGAACTGAAGCTCAAGATAGGAGCAGGACATGCCTCAAGTCATTTAGTGAGTCAGTGGGCCTAGAACTGGGCCTACAACTCAGCAACGGGGCTCTTCCTGTCAGTGGTTCTCCAACTTTGGAGTGCATTAGAATCCCCTGGAGGGCTTGATAAAGCAAATTGCTGGTTCCCCTGCCCAGAGGTTCTGATTTAGTAGGTGTGGGGTAGGACTTGAAAATTTGCGTTTCTAATAAATTCTCAAATGATGCTGGTCTGGGGATCCTACTGTGGGGACCACCACAGCACTCCGTGGGTCATACATCTTCTTTCCTCTTCCTCATGGACTACACAGTCTGTGATCTACAAACACTTTGAAAGAAATGGGAACCAGTGATGGCAGCTAAAGAAAAATACATAGCTAGCAGCAAGATGGCAGGGTGACTAACCAACAGTCCTTATTTGTGTGGGACTCTCATAGTTTTAAAATGGAAAGTTCTGCAGCTCTGAAAACCCCTCAGTCCCAGGAACACAGGGATGATTGTTAAGTCTAGATGAAGGTGAACAAAATTCAGCGTCAGTTAACTGCCAAACACAAAAGGACATACTTACAGAGAATGTGGTAATTCCCGCTGAGTTTGTTTGAAAATGACTCATTCATTTATTCTTCTTCCAACAAATCTCTATCATGAACTATTTGTAAGACACTGTGTAAGGTGCTGTCTCCTGACCCTATTGATCCCATCCCACCATAGCAAAAGGTAAAAGTGACTCTATAGTGAGCTTGGTAGACACAGAACCATGCTTATATAATCAGGGACACCTGGAAGAGATGTGAAAAAAGAAACATCTCACATAGAAAATTTTCTATGTACCATAGTCAGCACTCAAATAATTACCTTTCCTCTTTATTCAGTGTACTGAAGGGAGTACAATGTTGAGAAGGATTGATTGAAAATTTAGGAGAAGGAGGGTGAAATAATTAATTAATCAAGGTCCCAGGAGACACAGAAGGTAAGCGGGCAAAGGGGCATCGGGGTAAATTGATTTTTGTTTTGTCCTCATCTTTCCAGGGCCATGAGGATGCCCTTTGCTTGTCATAAATAAATGTTGACCTCAGTTATGGTATAATTTTCAATGCTAATTTACACAAAATTTCAAAAAAGGTAAATGTCCTCATGAAAATTAATTGTGCATATCATGAGGACTGCATAATAGTAGAGAGAAAATATTGCATGGTAAGATGTTGTTACTTCTGTTATGATTGCTAGAGGTTATACACTCTAAGTGTATAAAGGTTATTATACACTTTGATAATAAACTTAATTATCAATCCTTTGACCTAAGAGGAAAAAAATTTTCATGGAAGATCCCCCCAAATTCCTATATAGTACAAATAAAATACAGAAATATTTTTAGAACACATTTTGAAGCCCTGGACAGGTCAATAAAATAATACATATACTACCAAATGTGACCTAGAAACTCCCTGAAAACATCAGATTAGGCTCTATTCTCTGTCAGAATACTGAATTTGCTTTGCTTGGTGACTCCTATCTTCACTAATAATGTTTGTTTTTTTTTTTTTTCCTATTGTGTGCATCCTAGCTTAGATTCTCCTTCATCATTCTACAGTGGCCAATGTGGCTATTGTACAGCTTCACTTCCAATGAAAGCTAGGGGAAAAGAAGCCTTATACCACCCTTCCCCATACATAAAGAAGCCATTTAAAAAATAAAAGAAGCAAGATATTCAATTTGATCCAGTCAATTCTTGGCAAATATCACATATAATATTTGGCAAATATTATATATATTATATATAACATATAATATATATAATATGTGATATTATATATCACATATAATATTTGGCAAATATCACATATAATATGTGGCAAATATCATATATAATATTTTAAGAGATGAGGGGACCAGCAGAATTCTGACCAGCAGAAGTGGAAGAAAACAGATTACATTCTAAATGCCAGCAAATTGCCAAAACACAAACTTGGATAATAATCTCCAGTTCTCTGGAGGCACATCATCTACCATGCTGAATTCTCTGAACAATCTTACAGAACAACCCTATGTAGTCTCTCTCTCTCTCTCTCTCTCTCGTGTGTGTGTATATGTGTGTGCGCATGGAAACATGGAAACTCACAAGTCTCTAAAAACTTTCTGCAATTATCCCTCACAGAATTACCAAACTGATGAGTCTGTTCAACAGGAGCTGTTGTGACTTCCTAACTCTTTGAGGGATGATTTGGATGGAGATAACACTTCTCAGAAAATAAAACACTATATTTGAACTCAGATCCCAACTTATCACTGAGCTTGTCCTGCCAACCAATTCCTACAATGTCTGGAGTTGTGTTAGACTATAGAGAAAGATCCAGTGTTTCAAGTTAAACCCTTCAATCTACAGGCCTATGTAAAGCACTGCACTGTTCCAAGGTATCCTTTAGCCCATGGGTTTTTCAAAGTATGGTCTGAAGACATATGGAGGGGTCCCTGAGGCCCTTGTAGTGGGTCTGTGGGTTAAAAATTTTCTTTATAAGAACATTAAGATGATATTTATTTTTTTCATTGTCATTATCTCATGAGTTCTACAGAGGACTTTTCCAGAGCCTACATGACATGTGATGTTGTCATCTCTCTGGTAGCTGAGAAATGTGTACTTCTGTCGTGGCCCGATTACAGAACGGGGAATGACATACACAGAACATATACTTAAGACACAGACAGACAGAATTGGCTGCAGCCCCAGAAGAAAAAAGGACACAGAGACAAGAGACGGTTTCGGACTGTAGCACTGGAAAAGTGCTGGTCAATTTATTATACACAGTTTAATTGGGCAAGTGTCCCACAGCTATTTTCTCATGCCAGCTACTTTCCCAGCTACTTTTTGGTACGTGACTTCCCATGGCCAACAACACCTGCTTTTCCAGTCAAAGCAAAAAGCATGGCCTTCTACAAGAGATCTCTTTGATGTTTTGCACCACTTTCGGATAACAAACAATCTCGGCTCGAGTGCGAGACCTTGAATTCTAGGCCATCTTGCAAGTGCCTAGCACCGCGTGCTGGTTACCAGGTAACCTTGGCTTGCATGCAAGGCCATAGGTTCTTGGCCGTTTGCCAGGAGAAACAGTTCCTTCAGCCGGTCAACAAGCCACGTCCTGCTAATCGTGGGAACAAACAATGGACTCCCGTTCTGCTGACTCGGGGTCTCAGCCAATCTGACCCTGGGACGGCTCAATTCAGCTTCCTTCATACTTCCATGTTCCTTGAGCTTTAAACATTTCTCAGTCTTTATATCTGATATAATTAGTATCAATAGAAAGATCCCACACCCAAGAACTCTTTGGGGAACCTCAGTAACTTTTAAGAGTGTTCAGGTATCCTAAGACCAGAAATTTTGCAAATTGCTGCTTTATCAAGATTTTGTTATTTCTAGACTGTCTTTCTTTCTAACTGATGTAGCTGGAAAAAATTTTTACCTTATGACTATTATTGCTTTCCTATTTATATGGAGATTATTATTCTAAAGTAGATTGACCAAAATTATATCAAAAGCTTTAAAAAACATGTTGGGCCCATGTTATAACTTGGGGAAGACAGATACCACACTTAGATGGCCTGACATCAGATAACTCAGAGCCCTACTCTTTAACAAGCTTCCCCTACTAAAGAAAGGGACAGCTTCTGTTTTGTGGGATGGAGTAAGGAGACAATCTGAAGTAGGTTTTGACACAATATTATTCTACTGATACGAAATTCCTGTGGCAAGGGTACCAGGTATATTCATAATCCTGATGCTGTCAATTTTAAGCCTGAAGCCCCAAGAGACGAGCAGTGTTTAATACATCATCTCTTGTTAAATAGCAGCCACAGAGTTGGTGGTAGCCAATGAAGCATTCCCTTCCGTGTAGGGCACGCCAGTTGTCTATGAATAGGACCTGTTAATGGGCAACGAGAGAGACAAAAAACACCATCAGAACAAAGGCAGATCAAAGTAACCTAAATCAGAAGAGATCATTTAAAAGAAAAGCTTTAGGTTGTTCTCTGGTTACATTCAACGAGGTATGTTTCTTTTGAAATTAAATGGACTTTTCGAAATTAAGATGTGTATAGCCCTGTAGTAGGCTAAACGGAAGTTACAAAGGCAATAGTAGGTAATAGCCCCTGCACTGGAGGTGCTTCTGTTTTTTGAGTAAATGTTCTCTTAGTAAAGCAAATCAAGTAGTTGTTTTCTTTTTTTCTTTTCTTTTCTTTCTCTTTACTTCTTATTCTATACTTTCTCAAAGGGTTAAACTATTTCATTATGTTTTATGCTAAGTTGAAAATGTTTTTCATCCAGTGGAAATATCAAGATTTAAGAAAATGGAATCATGAAGCTGGAAGGACCCTTAGGAATCATCTAGTTAAACCCCCTCATCATATAAATAGAGTCACTGATGCCTAGAGATGGGATAGGGCCTGCTTCCAGGTTATTCAGTGAGTGAGTGGCAGGACCAGGGCCAACCCCCAGGACTCTTTTTCCCTTTTTCCTGTGCAACATATAAATACTAATATTGTGACTCACATAATAAATAAGTACCCGTTCTTCAACTGCTTCAGTATAATGAGCTTACTTGACATCTTTAGAGTTTAGGACCTACCTACCTTGCCAGGCCTTAGTTTGAGTCAAAACTCATTCTCAGGTCTCCTCAACTCTATTGTTAGAGTCCGATGTGCTATATACCAATGATGGACAACATCATAAGGTACGGTATTGATGATAGCCCGGTCATAGTTGTTGTACCTAACATGGAAAAATGAGAAGAAAGATCTCAAACACATGTTAAAGACATCTGTTGTTTATTGAACAATTTTATATAAGGCTTTCCCTATGTTCACTACTTGCCCCAGAGATGAAGCGACAATAAGTCAATGTTCTCTCAGGAATATAAGATTGGAGTGAGGAACTCCACTGGCTGTTGACCATATTTTGTTTTTCTTTGGAGAATCTGGGGGTGGGGGATAGAAGTTAAGTTCCACTTGGTTTCTCCAAACCTAGGATAAGATGTTTTATCTAAAGCACTTTGCATAGAGTAAATCCTTATGGGCTAAAGTTCATGGGACCACTGGGGAAAGCTCTGAGCTTTCTCCTCACCAAGCTGAAGTGGACAAGAGAAGAGAGGCTGTACTAACAAAGCTTTCTTTTTAACAGGATGGCTGATACCTTCTCAAGTGTCTTTCTTTGTTGCAGATATCCCAGCTATAACTTAGTAGGCAGTTCGCCCAGGGATCTTCATTCATTCATTCAACCCTAACATTTATATGAGTACTGGCTATGTGCTAGGCAGCGTGTCAGGCATTAAAGACACAATGATGAATAAATATAGCAGACATGATCTCAGCCTTAGTGGAGTCTATATTGTATTGAGGAATACAGGTGATAAACAAGTAATAAATACATAAAAATAAGCAAGATAAATTCAGCTAGTTACAGATGCTATGAAAAATAATAATGCTATCTGATAAAGAGTCACTGGGAAATCTATTGCAGATGGAGTGTTGAGTGAAGGACTTTTTGAAGAAGTGACATTTGAGCTGGTTCCTATATGGTAAGAAACTAACCATGTGACAAGCTGAGGAAAGAGTGTTCCAGGCAGAGGGAACAGCAAGTACAAAGTGTTGGGGTGGAATGGAGCAAGAAGGCCATGTAGTTGGAGTTGAGTAAGCAAGGGGAATAATGGTGGAAGAAATGATGTGGAGGAGGTTTCTGGGGGCCGTGTCACGTATGTATAGCCATGCAGGCCATGGTAAAGACTTTGGATTTTATTCTGAGTACTACTGAAAGCCACTGAAAAGCCTTGGCTAAGATAACGGATTTCTGTTTCACCTAAGGCAAATTAACTTTTTACTGAAGTTAATTTCTTGGATGTGTAGAAAGCAAATATTTTAACCCATTCTGAGAGTTGGTTTATTCGCTCTAATGATAGTTTCCTTGGCTGTGCAGAAGCTTTTTAATTTGTGATATATATATAGTCATGGAATACTATTCAACTTCAAAAAACAGTGGTGAACTATGACCTCTTATATTATCCTGGAGAGAGATTGAGCCCATCCTTCGAAGTGAGGTATCACAAGGATGGAAAAACATGCACCATGTGTACTTGCCATCAAATTGGTACTAACTGATCAACACTAATGTGTTCATTCACATTGTAGTAATACTCTTGCGGTGTCGGCTGGGGCAGGGGGGTAAATCCACAAGTAATGGAAGTGAAGCGCACTGTATGGGGGAAGGACGCATTTGTAGCCCTGGCTTGGGCGAGGCAAATGCATTACATGTAACCAGTATGTTTGTACCCCCATAATATCCTGAATTAAAACAAAATCTGTTAATTCACTGAAGTTAATTTTCTGTATGTATACATACAGCAAAGTGTAAAAATCATAATAAGCTTGAAGAATTTTCATGATGTGATCACATCCATATCGGCACCACCAGAACCCCAGAACCTTCCCGTGGGCCCCTTTCTAGTCACACCCTTTCCCCCAACCCATTGGTAACTACCATCCTGACTTCTATTACCCAAAGATTGGGTTTGCCTGTTTATATAAAACTTTATATAAATGGAATCACACAGGATGTACTCATTTGTGGCTAGCTTCTTTCATTTAATATTAAATATTATGTTTAGGAGACTCATCATTGTCTAGCAGTAATTAATTCATCTTTGGTGCTAAATAGAATTTGATTCTGTAACCACACTGCAATTTATTTATCCATTCTACTGTTGATGGAAATTTGAGTAGTTTACAGTTTGGAACTGTTACAGATAATGCTGCTATGAACATCCTATTACATGCCTTTTGATGAACATATATATTCATTTCTGTTTGATATAAACTTAAGTATGGAATTTCTGGGTCATAAGGTATGTGTATGCTCAGCTTCGATAAATACTGCCAAAGATACTCTTTCCAAAGACAAATGTCTCTTTTCAAAGATACTCTTTTCAAAGAGAAATACACTTATAGCACAAATGTGCTATAAGTGTAAAACTCACATTGGATTTTGAAGACTTGGAATAAGAAAAGATTATAAAATAGCCCAGTAATGTTTAAATTGGCTATATACTGAAATGATAATATTTTGGATATATGGGGTTAAATTAAATATAATATTAACATGTTTAAAAAAGAGAAACAAACATCCAATGGTGCCCTTTTTGGACATCAGACGGTATTCATTAGTGTTAGATAGTACATGGCACAATCAGAGCCAATATTCTTAGTTTTCTCATATATAACATGAGCATAATAAACACCTGCTTAGCTGATCTCACAGGACTACTGTGCGAATTGAATGAAGGAATGTAATAGTCCTTCGATGAGCCGTGCCTGGAGGTAGAATAGAGTGAGGAAGCATAGTCTTCACCAAGGTCTCGACACCCATTGTCGCCTCCAGAAACCTCCAGTGCTCTATTAGGCACTTGCACAAATATTATTTCATTCACTCCTTTCATCATCCCGGAAGGGAAGGTGTTATTAACCTCCTTTTACATGTAAGGCACCTGAAACTTAGATAGGTTGAACCTGCTATAGAGTTTATAAGTAGCAGAGAGGTTTTGAAATCAGGTCTCCCTAATACCTTAACTCATGGTTTATACCACAGAGCAGAAACATGATCTTAATTCCTGTGTATGCTTATTCATAAAACCAAATTTTTACATATTTTAACTGTAATCTCTTGACCCCAAATAGAGATTTACAGTTTACAAATGTTTTCATACACATTACCTCATTGACCTGCTATCTGATAACTCTGTGACGGAAGTAGTACAGCTATTATTAGCTTACTTTATAGATAAGGAAAATAACGATAAGGCCTGTGATTTGCCCAGGGTTACATAGGATCTAGTATTCACTATTTATATTAGATGATGTTGTTTCCTAAAGCCAATAGCAGGATGCAGAAGGAAAAGTCTATGACAAATTAGCAAAATGGTTGTGCAATGTTCTTTTGATTAGAATGAGACTATTTCTGGACTTTTGCACAAAGTGATGTCATCAAATTATTGTGTAATATTTCTTTTTTTTTTTCTTGGCTTTGATATGAAGCAAGAGAGATCTAGAAGTAGGGAAAAGCAAATAAAATAGGCATTTATCTGACAAGAAAACCTAGGAAAGTTTAACAAAACTATTCCTCTTATTATTTCACTGACAGACAATGAAAGATTTTCCAAGTAAAGAGAGCTCAGTGATTGAGTGGATTGTGGTGGAAGTGAAAGATGATGGACACTGAAGTCAAATAGATCACCATTACGATCTCAGTTCGGATGTGTGACCTTGGAGGAGCTATTTGACCTCCTTGAGCCTCAGTTTCCCCACCTGAAAACTGATGTTAATAATAAATACCTTATACAGTTGTTATGAGGATTATATAAAGCATTATATATTACACCCTAACACTGTGCTTGACACAGTGGAGGTAAATAATAGGAGGTAAATAAAGGAGGTAAATAATGTTAGCTAAAATAAAAACTGGTTAGCTATCTCAAGCCACAAAAACAAGCCCTAGAAACCATGAACATCTTCACAGTGAGTTAGTTATACTCAGACTTGGAGGACAAGGTTAGACTAAGCTTTGAATAATAGTGGCTGAAGAATAGGCAAGTAATTATATCTAAATAGTTACATTTTAAAACCCCTTGCTCTAAAATGTTTAATAAAGTTTTAAAATGCTTTTGTGAATAGTCGTTATGCTTAACTGTTACAATATCCCACTTGTAGAAAAACCTTACTTATGTATAATACAAAGCATCCTATATTTTTATGTCATTAAAAATATTAAGCACTGGGTTCTGCTCTGGTAATGGCTGGGTAAACTCCTATTTGATCCACCCCATTGTCCCACAGGTGACAATTAAAAAGCTCTAGGCAAAATATAAAAAACAACTGCCTGAAGATAGTGTACAGGCAGATTCTGGAGGAGAGTTGACATATGGAAGAAACAAACTGCATTGGGTGAGTTTCCCAGTTCCATGGCATATAGCCTGAGGGCATGCCACAGCCTGTACCTGCACCATATAGGGAAGTTAAAACTCCAAAAGAAAACCCTGGGTCTTTCTGGTCTGAAGAACCAGAGGACAGAGTTTGGGCAACTGCTGCAACCAGAAAATGAAGAGGAAATCCTGGGAAAAAAGAGATTCAGAAAAGTAGAGCACTAAACTATGTGTATAAGCTAGATGATCACTGAATTTCCCATGAACAAGGCAGACTCCCAGAATTCCATCTAAAGATAAAAATAACTGAACGGAACTTTGAGCTACCAAAGAACAGAGTTTGAATTTTGAGTACAGCTAAATTAATTGCCCATTAAAACAAAAGCAAAAACAGTAACACCCTTTGGAGAAGCATAACAGAATCCAAAATCTCACTGACATTATATTCACATTGTCCAGGATGCAATCCAAAATTATTCAATATAACAAGAACCAGGAAAATGTGACTGATTACTAAGGGAAAAGACGATTGATCAAGGCAAACCTTGAGATGTCCCAGGTGTTGGAAATAACAGACAAGGATTTTAAAGCAGCTATTATAACTACGTGCAATGAGGTAAAGGAAACTATGCTTGCAATGAAAGGATAGAAAACCTCAGCAAAGAAAAAAAATTTAGAAACCCTAGATCTATAAAAAAAAATGAAAATTCTAGAACTGAACAATACAATATCTGAACGAAAATATCTACTGGGTGAGCTTAACAACAGAATGATGTCAACAGATAAAACAGTCCGTGAATTTGA